TTTGACTCCGATCTTACTCATTTAGGCTTCATTCTTCTCTATTTTTCTTCTCTACATTAATATTCTACTTCCTTCTTAATTATTTTTGGAGAAAGTGTTCTGTCATATGTCGAGATTATATGTATAATTGTATAAATTTCTAGTTAACAAGTTTCTAATGACTATCAAATAAATAAATATACCACTAGACTTTTCAAACTGCGACTAAATAGAACGTTAATTTATTACTTGTTATTAGATTTTAGATTGTTAAACTAGTTTGGGATTAGATATTAGTGTTAGCTTAATTATTTTTTGTTTTCTGAAAAATACAATAAAATGATAATTGCACCTTTTGGCAAATCATTTCTTTATGCAGTGAAAATAGACAGCGAACTTGGCAACCTTAATTCAAAATACGTATTCTATTTTACCATTAAAAAGCATGTTGAAAGCTTGCAGTTAAATGATTAGTATTACACCTTTTTATAGCTTAATTTTTGTTTTCCTTTTAAATTTAAAAGATTTGCGAGTATCTAACATGTGAAGTAAATAAGGATGCAAAATTACTGTGTAATCATAAAGAATGGGAAGTAAAAGTAGGGTCAAATTGAGCGGGTTGGGCTATGATCCATTGTTTAGCCCATCGTGGTCAAACTCATTTTGACCCAAGTGAATTTTGGACAGGGTTGGATAATGACTCATTAATGAGTTGTATTAGTTACCTTCTATAGCAAAGGTTGATAGCTTATTTATTTTAAATAAAAATAAATACCCTTTTAAAAAATTATATTCTATAGCTACCTATTGATTTTTATAGTCAAATATCTATTTATGGTCACCTCCTTAATTGATTCACTTTCTGTTTAAAAACAGCTGAATAGACCATGAATTGCGCTATTTACGTTATTGTATTCACAAATACATATCGTGAATACAGTCGAATACAGTAAATACAATAATTTGTCTAGCTGTAATCCCCTGTTTCACGCCGTGAATACAGTCGAATACAAAAATCTGTCTAGATGTAATCCCCTGTTTCGCGCCTAGAAATGCTATTGTATTCATGAATACAGTAGCTTAAATACATCGAATACACTCTAAAAACCTGAAAACATAACTATAGAAAGTAATATAGTAAATGGTAGCTACAACTAACTAATAACCATTAAAACATAGTGATTTCTGAAAGTTTCTCTAATTAGTTTAGCACATTTAAACCAGCTCAAACCCAGCACAAACAGCCCATTTGCCACCCCTAGTTTCTATTTATCTTAAAACCAATGTTGAAAATGAATCATGCTTTACATATACGTAATCAATAAAATATTTAACGCACGATCTTAGAAGAATGTTGAACAAATAATGCTGACAGTTGAGCATGTATGATAAACAACTAATAAAGACCTACAATATAATTTAAATAATTGATATCTACATATAAAAGTAGTAAATTACCCTCACTAATCATTTTTAGAGGGTTCCAATTAAACTTTAAACTAAACATTAAAGACCCAAAGATCATTGTATAATAACTGTTCGATCATATCCTTACAAAGAAAATACTCAATTCAGGTCCATCATTTGCATCTGGGCTCAACATGTATAGTGTTTCAGCATCTTTTGATTTAACCACACGTTCAAAATGTGCCCTCATATACGTCATCTCGCCGTCCGGTCCTTCCACGTCAGATTTTCCCGGCAACACGCCGGCGCCCATGGAAACCGGTTTGAGAATCTCCATCACATTGAGATCTTCTTCTGTAGCTTCTCTTTTCACACCATAGCCAGTTTTTTTGCCATTACAATACATGCTCCATAATGGCTCTTCAAGAAGATTTATCTTCTCTTTTTTGTCTCTTTTTTCGCATTCTAAAGCAATCCTGACCTAACCAATTAGGAAACATATATAGGCGGATTTAGGATTTCAAGAAGATTGGTGCACTATTACAAAGAAGTGAATTCAAAATTTATATTTGACGAGTTTAACTTTTAGGTTCTTACCATGAACTCATTACCCTCTTGAATTATCGGTTCAAAATAAAAAAAATTGCTTGATTTCAATGTGGATTTGTAGATGAATAAACCAAATTAAAAAAAATACTTAATTAAAACACAAGAGTGGACATGCTCACAAATGCAAGATTTGAAACCCTGAGCTCCATTCTAGAAAAAAAAATTAGGATAGCCGTGAGATTTGACTGCTAATTTCAGCACTTAATAATCATTGCACTTAATATATATATATATAACGACTGCATTAAACTATAAATTGTCGCACCTTTGGCCCAAACTAGTACAAGTCAGTACTCTCACATTTTAATTTACTGCAGGTACCGCATATATAGGGAAGGAAATTAAGTTGCCAATTGTTTAGGTAAACGAAACTTAAAGGATGATGCTTTTGAAGATGTTTTCTATTATGATTCACCGTCCTCTTTATCAAAGAATATCATGTAAATAGTTTAAGTTATATATAATATCTTGCACTGTTAGGTCACTTTTATCAATTGTAGTACGTAATATATCTTATTTTCAAGTGCAAATTTCACATTTTAAGGAGGTTTAAGAGTAAGTTTATTTAAATGACCTGATAGTGTAACAAACTCATTACACTCTCGTCGAAATATATAACTTAAAACTCTCTTTACGCAATATGATGCAGATATTATATTAAAAAAAAATTATCCCATTTTATCTGCAACTATTATTATTTGGGGGAGTCAAACAGCTTTTTATTGGACTATAATTTTTTCAAACTTTCTTAAATATATCTGATTAGTAACTATGCTACCTTGTACTTGTACTTTTCATGTAATTTTCAAATAGGAAATTTTCATTTCAAAAACTTTTATGTACGATATTAAGGAATATAAAAAGGTTCCTGAACAAATGGCAAACAATTCCTCTTTAATTATCTAAAAACGTAATCATAGTCAACAACAACAACCCAGTACAATTCCACTAGTGAGGTCTAGGGAGAGTGTACGCAGACCTTACCCCTATCTTCATGAAAATTAAGAGACTATTTCCGGTAGACCCTTGGCTCGGAATGAAGAATCATATTCAAATTCACATAATAAATTAGGGCAGAATCCCTTCACATAAAATAGAAGGAAACAACAAAACAAAAGCTTACCATGCCAAGATTCATTTCCTTCTGCAAAACATTGGTCTGCAAAGCAAGTTCGACAACAACTGTAGGAAGAGTTCTAGGGTTTTCTTGAATAGAGATACTAACACGTCCTTTTCGATATCCAAACAACGTTCCTGTGATTCTTGAACCTGGAATTATACGGCTATTACTGTCCGGTAATCGGCCGCCGGGGAGAGAAGGAAGCTTGCATACAGGTGTAATAATGGGGAACGATCGGAAAACGTTTCGAAAAACACGAAAAACCCTAGTTCGATTTTTTTTCTTGGTAGAATTAGCTGGCTCAACGAGGGATAATTGCGGAATTGGGGGTGGAGGTGGAGTGTTTTTTGAAGAAAAAGACGAAGATGATGATGAGCTAGCTCTTGGTGTTGATTGTGAATCCTGATCCATTGCTGGTTTCGTTATTAGGGTAACCAGCAATGGATGAGGTAAATTACACAGAGAAGGAAGAAACCAAGATTAAAGATGTTGAATTTTGCATGTAATGGAGATTGGGATAGGGGTGGGAGGTGGGAGGGGAGAGGGGGTTGATTGTATTTTGATTTCTTGGTGTAGTTGTTTGGAAATGATATTTCTTTGTTTTTCTTCGGCTTGAGTTTAGTTCCTTAGTATTCGGAACCTAAAATTGTGGAACTAATTAACCAATACTATAATTACCTATTTACTTTAGATAAAAAAGAGTCGAAACTCATGTTATTAATAAACTATAATCAATATTTATTGTACTAATAATTTGATGTAAACACATCATACGAATAAGTATTTACTAGTTTAATCTAACACACAAAAATAGAGTACCATACCAAAAAAAAAAATGAAAAATTAGAATTCTGACTCCTTGGATAGGACTATAACGCTAAGATATTATATTAGGGAAGTTGTACTCTATATAATTTTTATTGAAGAAATTTACTCGAAAGTTCAATAACATGGACTTATAAAATATAATCATATGATGCTTTTAATCAATTAATATTTGTACAGACGTAGTATCACCTCGGATCCGTGGCGCAATGGTAGCGCGTCTGACTCCAGATCAGAAGGTTGCGTGTTCGATTCACGTCGGGTTCAATCCCCCGATCCAAATCGGATCCATTCTTTTGTTCCTCCCATTTTTCAAATACTTTTTTCCGCTTTTTCCAACAAATTTCCTCTGAATAAATGGACAAAATCTGACTCCAAAACAGCAACTTCACCATCTAACATTAATATAAAACTGCAAATTATGAGAATTTGCTCTTCAAAGCTAATTTGCACATTAATTTTAATTCAAGTATTTAGTACTGTAACTCTCTGTTAAAGGAGTGGCATAACGGTTAAAGAGTTGGAATAACAACATTTAGAAAAAGGGGGGCGAACGCAGCAAAAGTAGCACTAGATTAATTATTTCATCTTCCAGAGCTTTGTAGGGTGGGGTTGCCTATAAAACATATGCTAGTGGAACGTAGCAATAAATTAGTCAATGTGATAGCAAGTTAACTCGAATACTACAATTTGTAAAATAAAAAAAATAAATTAGTAACTTTTTTTATTGGTGTGCTGGTTGTTGTCCTTCCTTTTATATTTTCAAAGCCCAGGGATTACCGGGAATCCACCCGTGGAAGGAACTTCGGTGGTCGAAGGCGAAGTCTCACAGAATGAGATTTGGTCTACTGGAAACAACTTTTTCGTCTTCTTAAAGCTAGTGGTAAGGTCTACATATACACTATCCTCCCTAGATTGTTGTCGTTGGATTAGTAACTTTTGAAAGCGGTAGTATTGATTCAAAGATCATACCAAAATTTTGACCTATAAGTTCTTTGACTATTCTGGAAAATAGGGGCAAAAAAAGAAAAGGATATTCTTTTGATAGATTAAAGTATGATCCGACTTAACTACGAAATCATGGATCAGCTACCAAATCCATGAACTAGGGGAAGTTAACATAGACAAAAGTCTGAAGTATACATAGACAAAAGTCTGAAGTATATGAACGTAGCAAGAAGGAAATAACATTCAATTACAACCCATTGAACGACAACAGACATTTTACAAGAAATATGTATAAGGCAGATTTGATTTCCTTGGACCTAATGAGTTTGACTCTATGCCTTTGCCCTGGACGCGAAGAAGTTGACAATCATCCTGGAATACCGGGTGAGGGTGAAAAGCATTTGTAGAGCAGCACGACCTTTAGCGATTCCCTCCCTTAGGTCCCTCGCCTTTTTAGCTAAAGCTGGTCCTGTTGTCCTGGTCTCCGTTGGGACTAGTAGACCCTGCATGTTTGCTAATGAAGTAAAGATGAAGCGAAATTCATCACCTGAAAACATATTCAATGATCATAAAAGAGCAATGACAGCTAAATGTCCAATAACCTGATTGAGCCATGCTTGAAAACTGTCGCAATCTTTCCTCTGCCAAGCGGACAGCTCGAGTTGAGCTTCTAACGCCTTGTGTTAATCCTTGGCTGGAACGATCAAGATTACAATATCAGCATCATGTTTAAGGATAATTTCACAAATTAATGACATATAACTGAATAAGTACATATGTTTTGTACTAACCCGAGGTCACTGAGCTCCATAGTTAGGTCACTGATCTCCATACCAGAGAGTCGAACTGCAGCCATAGTGTCAGGAAGCTCCTCTCTAGTAACATCCATTAGCTTCTCTAGTGACTCTGCAGCTCGTCTAAAAGCCTAGAGTCAAAATTGAACATTAAGTTGTTGAGATATAGAAACATACACCACATCTGACTATACGATTCTTCTTGCAGATAAATTACACTTTCTTCTGCTTTCAGACTCAAGTCAACAATTCATTTCCTAGAAAGGCAAAAAGTTGACAACAGCCTTAAACTACTTCCAGAGTTCTACTGCATAGGTAATTCTTGCTCGCAGACCTCATAAGTAATTACTGGAAAAGTATAATGACAAGGAAGAATTTGTTGACACATACCAGAAGGGTTGGAATTGCAGAAAAAAACAGCCAGGTTGCAGATATTGCTGCCTGTCAAAGAATACAAAGTTGGCATATCAGAAGTTGGGGTTCCAAGTCAAATATCCACAGAGAAAAAATTAAACTGAAGTATCTCTACCACATGAATGTAGGTGAACTAATTGGCAACCTATCCCCAGTTATGACTTGATGAACACTTAGACCTCCATTTATGACAGTTGATGAAATACGCCATAATAGATAAAGTAAGCAAGTGTTTGAATCAGCCAGGCAAAGGGCAGCCCGGTGCACTAAGCTCCCGCTATGCGCAGGGTCCAGGGAATGGCCGAACCACAAGGGTTTATTGTACGCAACCTTACCCTGCATTTCTGCAAGAGGCTGTTTCACGGCTCGAACCCGTGACCTCCTGAATCATCCGGGAAGGGGAAAAAACAAAAAGAAAGAAAAGTGAAACATTACTCTTCAGCTAGGAAGGGAAAAAGGAAAACAAAAGAAAAGCCAAATATCACTCTTTCTTGAGCAAGGAGTGGGGCAACAGTAGCAAACGAATGTAGTCAATACGGTCCAAAAAATTTAGCTTTCGATTCAATTGTATCCCTATAACCAACTCATTTAATTGGATCCTTATTACAGAACTCATGCCGATTGGCTCATGGGACTCACCAATGCTCTAACTACCTCCCATCCTTCCCATCCAATATTTCCAAGAAGCCTGAGAAAGTAGAGACTTGCCTCTATGAGAGTATCCCCAACAGGCCGAGGAGTCAGCCACTTGGTTGCTTTCACAGTAACAGTAACTTGACCATCACAGCCATCCCTTTTTTATGTTTCATCTAATCCAAATACTTCTAACAAGACAATTGAACATGTTCTATCTCGGACTAGACTCATTTGTTTATTTACTTCACTTGTATTTTTTACACTATTCTATTTCATTAACATAAAAAATAATACTTCATTTATTTTTATTTATGTTACTCTATTTGATACCATCCTTTTTAGCTATTCAATCCCTGGCATGCCCTCATTGAACCTCGTTGTATCCCAAACATACCCGCGATTTCTCTGCCTAACCCCTCCTGTCACAAACACCTGCAATCTTCCCCCATCCCACAAAAACTTCTTTGGGAGAAAATTTCATTAGTTCATGTAAGGTACAACGATATGAAACTAAATTATCTTTCTAGAGCTCAAATCATTAATTTACATGTTCAGAGTAAAGCCAATTAATGGTGGCATCACAAGTGACTTCAGGAACCAAATCTGCAAATTACAGGCTTACAAGAGACCCACTCCAGTACTATTACATTTATATAAAACCAGGTAGTTATAGACCTATTAATCACAAAATACATTTTCCAATCTTCCTGAACATGGTTTGATTTAGCAAGTTAAGATTGTGATGGAAATCAGATACATCCACCTTTCTTTTAGATCAGTATCACCTTTTTTAATCTCATTAGGCTTCAATGGAAGGAGAAAAAAGAAGGAACAAAAAGGTTTTCACTTATGACGAGCTATGATTATGCACATTATTGGTACGTAACAAATTTAGGATCATATGACAGATTGTAAACATTATATATGCTAATTTAACATAATTTAAATGTTGCATGTCAAATTAAACAATGCAAAAAAAAAAAAATTGGGGATTAACGTCCCAACTTAGTCATTCATAATAGCCACTTTACTCGCTGCATAACTAGTAACTTCAAAAACAAAAGTACAATCTATGCGATCAAACCGCGACAAGCGAGCCATTTCCATTTCCATTGGTATAGCAGGAACTACATAAATTAAATTTTTGAAAATTGGAGTAAGGTGTTTGCTTTGTAAAGCTGATACTGTTCGCGCTTATTTAATTGGATCAGTCCTCCATGAACGGGAGAAAAGAGAAAGAAAGGCGAGAAAGCAATAGTATTTTACTGAGAGCTAACAAACAACAACTAAGTTTCAACCCAAAATAGTTGGGAGGAACTATACAAATCTTCCATATTCATTCTGTTCTATTGGACTTGCTTCATTCCAAAATTCCATGGTGTGTCTTTTAAGGCAAATTAGGAGTTTTCCAAAAGTAGATGTCATAATTTGGCTAGTTTACAACAGTCATCTACCTAAGCAACCCTACTCCTTTATGTGGAATTGGAACTGACAATGTGAGTCTCGATAATATGAATCTTACATAGATGTGAAGGTCACATAGGCAGGGTTTATCTTAAACACAAAAACAAAACAAGAAACAAGCACAATATGGCAGAAACCTAAGAAATCCGTGAGTAATTTCCTTATAACTTATTCTAGTCAAGTTATCCACAAGCCAATAGAGAGAAAATATGCACAACAGCTCGAATGTCGTAGGAATCGCTCAAAACTACACGAATGAACAATGTATGAGAATAACACTAATATACTTATCCACGCGCGCACACACACATAAATATATAGAGAAGCCAGAGGTTTCAAATTAAATGATTGAAAAACTTGCAGTCAATATTCAACTTATTTACATCTTCTCATACCCAAAGAATCACAGTTTCCAAAGATACAGCCTGTCCAACTCCTTTTTTTTCCTTGTGTTCAGTAAATCACTCAAAAAACGCTTGTAATATGACGCAGTTGGAGGTATATTTTAAACTCAAACACTGTTTATAGGTTTATCATCTGTTGTAATAAGCTATATCCATAACCTGTCATATTATAAAGGTGTTAAAGTAAATTACTCTCTTTATTTTAGAAATGGTGGTGTCAGGATCAGCTTGCGCGCAAATCTACTGTCCCACTCGACCTACTACCACCCACCCATACATATACTCGGTAACTCTATCTACCAAGGCTAAAATTACTCTCTTTTTTCTTTTCCTCATGTTTTGCTTATCAACAAAATCATTCCTTTCCCTAGTTTTTCTAAGCAGCCAAACAGACTTTAGCAATATTCCAATCTTCCCCCAAAAATGTTCCAATTTTTAGACAATAAATCTCCTATATTCGCATTAGCAAAATCTCCCCAAGTAATTAAAATAATAAATAAAGACAATAAAGCAAAATTCAGATGTGTTTATATGTTTATATGTAAGAGAGTGAAAGGAAAGAGTACATACAGCGCAGGCAATGAAATTGAGGATATGAATATGGCGATGAGTTAGAGTCCATTGAACCGCCGAGGAAGAAGAATATCCAAAGGTGGAATTCAGATGAGAGGTAACTAACGGCTCAGATGACGAAGCATTTTCCGATTGGACGGAGAGAGACGCCAATTGTCGTTGCGGCAATCGGATACTAAACCGCCGTCCGGAATCCAAGTTCCCGGCGACTCCTTGGTCGGAATTTGTGTTAAGCACCGGCGACGGTAGCTGCAACTTGAGCGTACTCAACATTTGTTTTTCTGTATTCACGCTCAGTGTGCGTAGCGTGTGAAAGGCTCGTCGCCATTTTCGATGTATGAGCTAAAGGACATTTGTGGCATTTCAAGGGTTGATAGGTCGCTTATATGCGACTTAATACCGATTACATTTTCCACTTAAAGCGTTTATATTTTATTATAAAGAAATATTAAAGTCACAAAATACATATAATTAATAATATGTAAAATCCCAGAAATAAAAAGTCATATATAAAATTTTATCTGCCCTGGTGTTCACACAAAAAATTATTTAGTACATTAAATCACAAATATATACATTAAAATGCGTCCTTTAACAAATTATGTTCACCAAGCCTATGTATTAGAGCAAATCTTTCCCCTTCAAATTTAAATGAGATTCCTAAGATGAGGCATGAATTTTTACAGGACATATTTTGATGTATACATCTGTGATTTAATGTAATGCATTTTTTTTGTTGTGTACATACCTACAAGGTTTTAGCAGCGATTGCTTAATCACTAGGGATTTTGAAAATGGTTACACTAACTACTATATTAATTTAATTGATTGATTGATTAATTAATTAATAAGTAAGTTGACAAAGCCAAGCATTCTTGTTATTAGAGCTTCCTTTGCGAAGCTCACATGAGAGAGACGATTCTGTTTGACCAAAAAGTATTAAGCCTTTTTGGTAAACTAATTAAATAAAAAGATAGTGGGTAAATTCTAGTTAAATATAATAAATTCTAGATCTGAAATCGGTTGATACAAATAACGTATAATTGCCTTTAAACCAATTTAATGCAAAGGGTATTAAATGGTATGGTTATAAGTGTGTGGGGGAACAATGATGATCAATAAATATATTAAATGACAATAAATGTAAATAGAGAGAATGATTCACCCAAATATTGAATGAGGTGGATGATTCTTTTCTCTGACAATGATGTAAGACAAACAAAACGTGGGAATATAGGGGACTTTCTCGGATCTGATGCGAGAAAGTGTGAGATGAACAACAAATCGAATCTTTGTGGAAAGACAATATTTATAAATTACTTCAGAGTCAACTTTTCATGAGAGATCTTCTCATATAGAATATTACATGCCCCTTTCTTCTCTCTCCCTTCCCCTTTATATGAGACATATCCCTTACATAACTTAAAGTACAAGTGTAGTATGGAATATTCTCCTAAAATATCTTACTACTAAACTAGCCGCTAGGGCCGGACTGAGTATTCGACCTCGACCCTAGTTACTCAGCTCGCCAATAGGTTCCTTCCATCTTGAGCACGACCTCGACCTAATTGGCTCTTAGCAATCCTCTCTTGGGCAAGATTCCCTTGGTTAGATTTTGATCCATACAGTTAGTCCCTTCGCTCGTCGGGGTTATTTTTTGGACGAGCTTGATGGGCGGACTTCGCCAGTTGCAACTTGAAAAATCTGGGCTTGCTGACCGAGGAGTAACCTTTTTATGGCGAGGTGACGATGTGGCGCTTTGAGAGCCACATCTGACCGTTACGTCAGTTTGAAATGACGTCATTTCATCATGCGTCATTATGGCGCATGTTCCCGATACGTTACGTGGTTTCTCGTGCCTCTTCCGTTTTGAAATCAATGTGGCGGCGCTTGGCTTTCTCGATTAGGGTGCCAATATTCTTAAAAATAGGGATGAGAATTCCTCATTTAAGCTGTTGCATTTCTTAAGCATTTGAATCTTCAAGCTTTCCCTTCTTCTTTTCAGAATTCTTGCATCTTTGTCTTTCCCTTCTCTAGCGTTTTCTACTATTGTTACCCCATTCATATTCGCACATTCTCCCCATACACGTGACAGAAAAATGACTAGCATCTTCTAACTTTGAGGGAGTTTCTGATCCTGTCCCATTGACTGTGAACATGCCTTCTCATGATGAAGGAGTGGCCATTGTTGTAGAAGATGAGAGTTTCCCCACTGTGGATAAGATAGTTCCCCGTTCGGGGAGGACCAGGTTAGACTTCTCGAAGTGACCTGAAGATGATTCTGAGCCCGTCTTTTCTGAGATGGATGCGATGTACTCGTTGAATTTAGGGCTAAATGATGAATTCCTGACCATGTCGACCTTATCCCGGCTGGTGACGATGTGGTGCAGATACATCACTCAGGATACTGTGCATTCTACGCGTATCCGTTCGTCGTCGGCAATACGCCTCCTCTTCCTTCCTTGGCGGAGGACTTTTGCCGCTATTATGGCATTTGTCCGGTCCAACTTTCCCCGTATATCTATAAGCTTTTCCTTATGCTTTTCAAGTATGCGGAGCTAGCCAACTGTGGGATTTCTCTCCGTCATCTGCTTCACCTCTTCGCCCCAAGTTTTCACAGGGGTACGATAATATACCTTCGCCATCACGGGACCAAGAGATTGGTGGTGAAGATGGACATAAGATAAATCGTCGTTTTTGGATTAATATCTTCTACGTGAGGACGGAGCATGTGGTGTCGAACCTTAATGGTTTTTCTGAGGCGTGGAACTTTGCTCGTAAGTGTTTCTCCTAACTGGCTATTTGTTGTTTCTCTTTGGTGACCTAATCGTTCTCCCTCTTCTCTTCTTTTTTAGCCGAGAAGGATCCTCCTTCGCTAGTCGCCGACATTCGCGACTGGGAGAGACAAATTTTGCCTCACACGGTGGAGATCCGTGAGTGGTCGCACTTCAATGAGAGGTTTGGGCGCAAACCTTTGACCACTGAGTTATTTCACTTTGGTCTTAGTCGTTTTGACCTTCATACCGTCTTTTCTCTCCCCATTTTTTTACTTTATCTCTTTTTATTGGTAGGTAGGAGGGCTCCGAGGAGGGCAAGGGATCCTACTCCTGCTTTTCGTCAGTCAGGTGCTTCGATTGGGCCTCTACTCGTCGTGGCTGCAAGCGAGTCCATTTAGACTTCTGTTCCTTCTCGGACCCCGGCCTCACGTAGACCTAGTCGTCAGGCTGCTGCCCCAATAGCGGAGATTCCGGCATCTTCAGTGTTTCATTTAGTGGATGAGTCATCACAGGGCGAGAAGGAAGAGGCTCCGCTAAAAAGAAGGAGAATAGAGGTCGACGGCAAAGCAACCGAGAATGAGGGGCCCGCGAAGGGTTATCCCGTGTTGACCACGGCTGAACCAGGGGGTGACATGACTTTGGACGCAGAGACTGTGCCCCCTTTCAAATGTGGAGACTGCTTCCGTGGAAGGAGAGGAGCGACCTGAGGTAACTACGGTCATTTTGATGAGTGATCCGTCAACATCAGAGCGGGCTGACGTCCCCTCCTCAGCTGAGAAGAGGGCGAAAGGAGTGATCATAGATGATTACAAATCCGGCTCCGACGTCAACCCCAAGGAAGAGAGAATATTCGATGAAGGGTTTACCCGGGTTGAGGTAAGAACGGATGGGCCTTATCGTTCGATTGTCATCCCTTTGGACTACGGATTGTTGGCTGACACGGTGAGCGTGGTCCCTTCTTTAGTCCCTTTTTGCTCTGCCACTGAGAACAGGACTCTTCAAGTACTTAAGGATGTCGATTTGTCATTAGGCATATCTGGGATGGTTTTGAGGGTGAGTTTTCTTCCTTGTTATTTTTGCACTTTGCGCCCGTCTCCCCTTTCTATCTTTACTAACTCTTTTCGGCTCTTCCTTTCTTTTCTATATTTTTTTTAGACTTTCATTTTGGAGATCGAGAGCGCCCGACGAGAGGAGAAATGGAAGATTGTTTTCTAGAAAATGGTTTTGAAGTACCGCAAGTATTATAACAAGTACCGTGAGATGCGTGCTTGGTTTAGAGTAGATTGTAACCTCCAGTCCTTTAGAGATGAGTTGGACCATAAGGATGAGGAGCTTATGTGGGTCATCGGTAGATGTCGTGAGCTCGAAGGGGCGCTTAGAGACAAGGAAGATGAACTCGAGGTGAGCAAGGGGGTCGTGGCCGAGTGTGTCGACCTTCAAGCGCAAATGGTGTCCATGCGGGCCAAGCTTGAGCAAAGCTCAATTAGAGTTTTCGGCCTAAGTGGTGAGTTGATCGAGAAAGTGGCAGAGTTGGAGGGGAGCGAGGAGGCCAGGGTAGCGGCTTTGGCAAAAGTGGCGGCATTAGAGGACTTTATCCGTGTCCTCAGGTCTAAACGTGCAAATGATGCAGAAACGGCCGCACTAAGGGACGCACGGCTTGATGAGCGAATTGGTGGGCTCGAGAGAGATGTTTCGAGCCTTGGTAATCAAGTTGCCGCTCTTGAGGCCGAGAAGATACGGTTGCTGGCTCGGCCGTCGTCCTCTCATACTTTTGCTTTCCCCTACATTCCATGGCACTTATCTTTTCTTAGAAGTTGAAATATTTGAGGTGGGCGACGTTCTAGTTGTTTGGAAATAACTTCCCCTCCATTGTTTCTAGTTGGAATGACCATTTGCTTGCTGCTGTCGTAATCTGATATGGGTCGTCCTAATTAGTCCCTAGTTTTCCTTCTCGTGGGTCCTTGCTCGCCTGCGTTTTGGCTTTAAGTACGTAGTCCCCTACTTTGAGCGGTCTGACCTTGGCTTTTTTTATTTTAATATCGCTCTGCTTGTTGTTTTTGAGCGACCATCCTTATATAAGCCATATCTCTTCGCTCTTCGACCTCATCGAGGTCTTGCCTCCTGCTTTCGTCGTTAATCGGTCCACTCTCATATGAATATCTTAGACTTGGTTCTCCGACCTCAACCGATATTTCTACATCAACTCCATAGACTAGCGAATATGGTGTTTCTCCTGTGCTTGTTTTCGACATTGTGCGGTATGCACATAGCACTTCCGGCAGCAATTCCGGCCACAGTCCCTTGGCGTTCTCGAGTTTGATTTGTTGGAGGACTCCACCTGTCGTTTCCCCCGGGGTGACATGGCGTAGAGAGTATTCTTTTGATGTGCCATTTTTCAAAAAACTCGGTGATCTTTTTCTCAGTGAACTGGGGCCCGATGTCACAACTGATTTCTTTGGGGATGCCGGAGCGGCATATGATGTACCTTTATATGAATGTGATCACTTCTTGCTCATGTATTTGGGAAAATGCACTTGCTTCTACCCATTTGGAAAAATAGTCAGTTAAAATTAAAAGAAATCGCACAT